TGTAGGTTCTAATAATTAAAAATTTTTAGCATAATTTTCTGATATTCCCGCCCCCCTTAGAGAAAATTGCTTTAAAACTTAATCTACATACTGGTGCTTCCTGGGCTTATTTTATGCCCCAAATTATGCTGAGTAAATACTGTTTAAATTGACTCGCTTTTCTAGGCACTGTGGCTCTGGCCTAGAGTCCTAACATTTGGGAGTCCATAGTAAGGATCAACCCAGGAAATCAAGACCAGCTTGGGCACCATACTGGACCCCATCTCAAAAATAATAAGAGACTAGAGAGATAGCTCAGCAGTTAAGAGCACTTACTACTCTTGCAGGGGACCTGGGTTCAATTCCCAGTACCCATATGGCAACTAATACCTGTCTGTAACTCCATTTCCAGGGGATCTGATGCCCTCTTCTAGTCTCCGCAGGCACCAGGCATGCAAACACATGGCACATTTACATACATGTAGGCAAAACACTCATACACATAAAATAAATAAAATAGTTAATATAATAATAAAACAAATGAATAAACAAATAGGCATGCTTTCTTGTTCCTGTTCCCCTGAGATGCAGAAGGATTCTTGAAAGGTCCCCTTTCTGAAGAAGCAGCATCAGACAGTGTTGATGGAGATCACGATTCTGTCGTTTTGGATCCAGAGAGATTTGAACCTCGACTGGATGAAGAGGACACGTATGTTGTGATATACCTAGAATGCTTTAATTGGGGGAAGAGGGTCTGTCTATATACACATGCCATATTATACCACAATGATCTCAGATTTAGTCAGAACTTGGTATATTACTTTCTGTCATAAATGAGTATTTCTACTTGATCTTTTGTGATAGGTAATGCATTATAGTTTGACTACAGTTTCTGGCTGACTCCTGCACATACAGTTTTCAGCCTGGACTTGTTTTTGCTTCTGTGCTTTGAGACACTCTGTAGCACAGGCAGGCTTCAAGCTTATGATCCTCCTGCATCAGCCTTTGAGTGTTGGAATTATAGGCCTGTGCACCCACATCTACCTTTTACTTTATAATATGTTAGCTTTTTAATTTTTTTATTTAAAAAAATTTATATGAATGAATGTTTTGTCTGTGTGTATGTAATTACAGTACATGTGTGCAAAGCCTACAGATACCAGAAGAGGGCATAAGATCCCCCTGGAACAGGAGTTACTGATGGTTGTTAGCCACTCTGTGGGTTCTGGGAACAGAACCGAGGTCCTCTGCAAGAGCAACAAGTGCTCTAAAGCCCTGAGCCAGCTGTCTAGCCCTGACTTTTTTTTAAATACTGATAAAAACATTAGAAACAGTGTCATGCATTTTTTTTTCTCAAAAGAACTAGCATTTTTTGTTTTCTCTATTCAATTACCTTATGAAACTAATTTTTCGAGAATTTAAATGCTGAGGCTGGAGAGATGGCTCAGCGGTTAAGAACACTGGTTGTTCTTGCAGAAGACCCAGGTTCAAATCCCAGCACCCACATGGCAGCTAACAACTGTCCGTAACTCCAGTTCCAGGGATCTGACAGCCTCTTCTGACCTCTGCATGGGCATTGCACGACACAGGTGCACTTACCTACACACAGCAATACACGCATACACATAAAATAAAAATAATAAATAAAATATTTTTAAAATTTAAAAAAAATTTTAAATGTTGTTACAGTGGTATTCTGCTTTGAATACATCAACAAGTACATACCATGCCCCTAATATCCAAACTGTTTTTTTCACAGGGACTTTGAGGAAGATGGTGAAAACCCTGACTGGGTGTCAGAACTGAAGAAGGAGCTTGATGGCAGGGCCTATGTTGGATAATGCCCTAGGAACTGTGCCTGAGCCATGAAGGGGAACCATTTCAATGAGAAATTGATGACTGGGAACAGAATAAAGAGGGAGAAACTATTATAAGTTTGTATTTTTGTTTTGTTTTGTTTTTTGGGACTGGAGAGATGGCTCAGTGATTAAGAGTGCATACTGCTATTTCAGAGGACCCGAGCTATGTCAGTCAGTTCACAACTGCCTGTAAATCCAGCTCCATGTGATCCAGTGTCACTGTCCTCCTCAGGCACCAGCACTTATGTACACATAATCACACACAGATACACACACATACACCTGATTTAAAAAAAAATCTAAACCCTAGTGATTTTCTAAACAGAAGGGAGAAGGTGTAGCAGATGGGATGAGCTTTACATTCTGATAGAACAGAGGTAGGATCCTGGCTTGCTCACACTACCTGTGTGACTGTAGGAAGTTACTTCACTTCTTTGAGCCCTAATCTCAAATAATGTGTGCTTCATAGGAATGCTGACCATAGACAATTACAGCAGCCCCTATGTTGTTAGTCACAATGACTATGTAACACTTTCCACATTTCTAAAGGTTTAAGGATCTAAATATATTTAATTGTGACATAATAATGTGAGCAATTTTTCAATAAGACCCAGTTCTGGAATATTTGAAAATGATTTCCAGTATTTCTTAACTGCCAGGTGAACTTCCCTGTAGTCTCACAGGGTGCAGAAATGGGTCATCCCGAGAAGAGTTAGTTGGGCTAGGTCTTGTCGGAAGGTTGCAGCCCTATATGAGAGGGGTATACAGGTAGAGATAAGAAGTATCAGAAATTAGAAGTGTTAGAGAATGAATTGGGGATCCCCAGCATGTATTGGTGCCATGCACATGTTTGCTGGATCCTGCGAGCTCTCATGCATTACCTCACTCAATACTGTGAAACATTAGAGAGGTGAGAATCTTTCACTGAGGAAGAAACAGACTTCTGACCCAGTATGGTGAATGATACTATGGTGAAGAACAGGTAGAACATATAGTCCTCTATAAGCCCCACCCCACCTGTATACCTCCTTGTACTTATCCTGTAGTCATGGCTACTCTCTCTTGTCTCTGGCAATCTCCCAGTCTTGCCATGATTTATAGGACCTTGCCGTTTCTGAGGAGTATTTGTTAGGTATTTTGTATTTTATCCTCAATTTGGGTGTATCTCATGTTCTTCACAAAGGTAAAGGGGAAGGTAAAGGTAAAGCACTCCTCATCGAATCCTGCCAGGAAGTTATGACATCAGCATGGCATGCCGCAGGTGCTGCTTGCCTTGGCCAGTGGTTAAGTCAGCATCTGCTGGTTCTCCATTATAGTTACTAATTCCCATTTCCATGCTCTGTTCACTGTGTGTAGCTAATTTAGGTCCCACTAAAGCTGCAAGGAATTACGTTCCTCCTCTGTTAGGGCAAAGAGCATAATATAATAAATACTAAGTCACTGGTTCTCTTGCTTCAATGGGTCTAGCTTCAGGCACTGGAAGTTGTTTGCAGTTGATTCCTGTGGTTTTTTTGGCACTGTCTCATCCTTTTTGAGCGCTACAAGATAAACTAGGATCACTCTGTACCTTCTCTGTTCCAGCCCCAGAACCAACCATTATTTCCAAGAGGTCCTGGTTCCCTTCATTGCTTTAGAAACCAAGATCTGTGTGTTGAACATGCTAGTTGCTCTTGGGGTATCACTGCTTCTGGGTTCTCTTTGTCTATAAACCTGTGTTTCAGTGCATCTCCATCTGTTTGTATGCCAAGCATGCCCTCATACTGATGTCTCCGAATAATCCAAGACCATAAGGTTAATTCTGGCTCCTCCTCCTTGCTCTTCTGTATCTGTTTTCTCTGTAAGTGAGAAATGACTTGCACATCTACCATCCACTTAATTATTCAGCCCAGTATTCATACAAAGGTTAAAGCCATTGATGCTGTTTAAAAACTGTTGAAAAGAATTCCATGTTATCTTTTTTGTAATAGACAATTGTAATCTATGAGGTTTAATGAAAAAAGAAATGACAATATATCCAAGATACTTGTATGGAACATATAGCCAGATTTTGTCTGGGGATAGCTATAAAAACAAGTTTCTAATGAAACATAAATCTTTCAGAAGCAATTGGATTTATATCTTTAGTAGAGAACACAAATAAGAGGTAATCTATATAATGAAAGATAAAAGTATCAGGAGAATTTTCCCAGTGGGGTGTACTGCCTTATTTTACCCAATACGAATAGGTTTATTGATCATGTCTTGAGTGAGAATTTTCCACATTAAGAAACAAGAAATAGGTGCCTAATTAGTGAAACTAAGCACAAAAATGATAAATCTTTCAAAAAGCAATCTTTTAAATCAATAAAAATAATATGGTAGTTTGGGGGAACTACGGCAGGAGAGTGACTGCCAAGTATGGTTACTAAACACCCAGCTCGGTTACATTAGTCCAGTACTTTTAAATGCCATGTAATATTTATAAAAAGAGTAAAAACTAAATGCTCTTAAATAAACCTTATTAGACATATATTTTGTTTTTTAAGCCAGTCCTTGTAATAGCAAGATTAGATTAATAACTCCATTAATTTAAGTAGAGGTTTGATCAAACTTTGACTAAAAAATTTAACATTATTATCTTCAAATCTCTCTCTCTCTTTTTTTTTTGTTTTTTTTTGTTTTTTGGTCTTTTTGAGACAAGGTCTCCCTGTAGCCACAGCTGGCCTGGATTCGCTAATGGAGACCAGGCTGGCCTCGAACTCACAGAGATTCATCTGCCTCTACCTCCCAAGTGCTGAGATTAAAGGTGTGCACCACCACGCCCAGCCAAGTCTCATATTTTATGTGTCTAAAATAAACCATAACATACAAAAGCCTTTTAAATTTTTCCTTTTCATTCTGGAAGCATCCTGCCATCTTAATAGTCATACATGAATTCTTCTTTATTAAAAATATTTCTATTCTTAATATACTAACATACTTGATGGTTATCTTAACATCATGAGACATAACTAACAGTAAAAACTAAATTTACAGTTATTAAAAATTAAAAAATAAATAAATTTACCAACTGTTGTGAGAACTTTCTCTTTAGAGTACAAGACAATGTCTATCCCTTCATAAGTTTCTAGTGATAATGCTTGTCTACCAACGTGAACAATAAATCAATTGTGCCAATTAAATTAAAGCTGGGCTTTTTTGGAGTAGCTGAAAGCAAACCCAAAAGAATTTGACCAGTATTATCTGACTCAGTAACATCTGAGCAAACAGAACTTTTTTATAGTCTAATTTGAATTACCTAAAATTAAACCAAAATTGCAGTGTTTAAGAGAAACAGAAAATAAGTGTGAAAATTCCATCCCAAGGAACCTGGACATTTTCTGAACCAAAACCATGTACAAAGAACAACGAGTGGGCCCTTACTTTGCCCATCTGTTTAAGAATTAGAGATCACCAGCATTCTAATGCAACATGATTTCTCTGGCATCCAGTTCAGATGTGTTGTGTGAGATGGATGGAGTTGTTCATTTGCTAATAGAGACATGAAGTCTGGGGGTGGGGGAGGGGGACTGAATATGTTCAAAATACATTGTATGAAATTAATAAAATTAAAAACAGTGGCAGGAAGATTATAATTAGGACATTTATAAAATGTTTTATTTTTATGTGTTTGAGTGTTTTGTCTGCATACATCTAAGTGCACCATGTGTGTGCAATGTCCATGGAGGCCAGAATAGGGTGTTGGATCCCCTGGAACTTTCTCTAGCTGCCATGTGAGTTCTGGGACCAAAATCTGGGTCCTTTGGAAGAGCAGCCAGCTCTTAACTCCTGAGCCATCTCTAGCCCCTAAACCAAAACATTTTTTAAAAGGGATTTCCACAAGTTTGTGTGGATATTTAAATTTTTTCTATCACATCTAAAATGATAAGCAAATTCCCTATTTTCTCTGACTAAAAAGAGCTGGCCTCCTCTTTTCTCCTCTTAGGGCATGGCAAGTCTATGGATGGCTCCACTTCTGTAGCCTGAGAGACTGAAACTTTAGTGGAGGTCCCTACCCAGGCACATTGTTAGTGGCAAAATAGAACATCCCATGAGCTGCTTGTGTTGTAAATATCTTTATATTGGGAGACAAGTAATAGTAATCTTTTGGAAATATTTTATCCCTTAGCTTTTCTCAAGGACACAATGTTTGTATTATAGGGCTGTTTTATTTAACTCCTGTTGGTCAATGAGTCAGGGAGCCAGCCTGACTCAGGAGATTTAAGACTGAGATGGCTTGGGAAACTGGGAGGGCCAAATCCCATCTCCAGAGCCACCTTCTCGGTGAGTTCAAACAGCACATGACAGTTTACCAATATACATAAAAGGCATTTATTTCTTCGTAAAATTGAACCTAGTGGTTTGTGCTGGGTAGATTTATTGTTTGGTCCATTGATAGCTGGCTGGATCCAAAGCACCTGTCCTCTTTATAACTATATTTCCTGATGAGTCTTATAATCAGCTGGGTCTTGCATTGGGAATGGGAAGTGGCAAAAGTTAGAACTCTTGACTTTGAAGGGTCACTCTCTGATATCTAATTTTTTAAATAATTAAAAAAAATTTTTATTTTATTTGTATGTGTGTACTGCCTGCATGTAGGTAAGTGCACCCTTGTCATCCAATGACCTTGGAGGTCAGAAGAGGCTGGGATTCAAACCCCGGTCTTCTGCAAGAACAACCAGTGTTCTTAACCGCTGAGCCATCTCTCCAGCCCCACCTTGTATCTAAATTTTTAAGATCATGAGCATGTGGCAGTTAGCACTCATGATCAAGGAGAATCAAGCCAACAAAAATACCTGCCTTTACCAGTGTCTAACCTGAAATCTCCCTGGCTATATTTGGGGTGACCTGATACTTGGAAGCTTATATTCACAGTTAGCGTGTGTAAGTGGAGGCAGGCAATCTGAAAAAAAAAAAAAATCCTCTCTCCTATATTGATTTTTCCATTAGTGCCACTTTTCATCCTTTAGTTTAACTTTAGGTCAGGTTTGAATGCAGAAAACCATCTGACTTTTAAATTTTTAGGTCTAGGTCAAACGGATACAGTAATG